TTTTTTTTTTTTTTTTTTTTTTAAGTAAATATATACAAATATATTTACTTATAAGCAGCAAAAACAACTGGTAAAGCAAGTACTGCTGCACGAGACTCTTTTCCTCCAAAACCACCACCTAATCTTTTTATTCTGACCACAATTTTATTAGCATGGATATTTAAAAGATGTGAAATAGAATTCTGAAGCTCTGTGGGATGTTGTGTTGAACAAAATATTTCTAATTCATCTTCTTCTTTTGGAATTGCCAAAGTTGCATTTGTTTCAAGATAAAAATGCTCTTGTGCTCCTGTTCGAACTTCTCCTTTAAGAATATGTTGTGATTCAATAAAAGCTTTTTCTATGTCTCCATTATTTATATGTTTTGGTGTTTGGTTGAAAAAGGAACGATGTTTAATAGCATCCTACAATTAACCAAAAATAATTTTTAAAAATATACGAAACTTATTTATTTAAAAATAAAAATTAATTTTAACTTAAAAAAATTAAAAATTTTAAAAATTTTTATTATACCTCTATAGAAATAATTATTGGTTCTAAATTTTCGTATTCAATTTCAACCATTTTAGCTGCCTTCTGTGCAATGGTTTGATTAATAGCTACAATTGCTCCAATTAATTGACCATGACTTGTCACCTTATAAAGAAATATATATTTATTTTTTTTTTTTTACTATTATTTTTACTATTTACTATGCAATTTAATAATTCAATTATAATAAGTTATAAAATTCTATATATTTCTATTCTATATATTTCTTTCATATATATATTTTCTTCAAATAAATTTTAAAATATACCAAAAATCACCTTTTCTGATACAAAAATTTCTTCGTCTTTAAATATAGGACCAAACCATCGCTGTTTTTCAGGTATATCCTTTGCACTATAAAAAGCAACTACACCTTCTATTGACAATGCTTTAGTTGCATCGATTTTCAAAATCTTTGCATGAGCTCTGGTAGATAAAACTACTGCTAAATATAATTCGTCGACAAACTTAGGCATATCATCGCAATATATTGCTTCTCCAGTTGCTTGTTTATATGCACTAGCATGAACAATTGATCTTCCAACTAAATCATTTGCTTCCTGATCTTTTTGAACCTAATACATTAATATTAAAAAAAATAAACTTAAACACAAAAATTAAAGAATTAAAAATTATATATTTTAAAAAAAAATTCTATAAAATAATTTATACATTGAAATAAGCACAAATACCACTTGATAATATTGTGAACTTTTAAATTTTTTGGTATGGAATCCTTCTATTGCACTTTCAACTTCTTTTGGTAAAAATATTTGAAATTTTTTAGCTATATGCAAAAATCCTTTGAAGAATAGACTGTAAAATATTAAAATTATAATAATTATTAAAATTTATTTTATTAAAATAATCATTTTTACATTTTTACAAAAGATTTAAATAAATTTTTAATATATTAAAAATTTTTAAATGTAAATTTTTAAAATATTAATATCGTACCTTAAACTCAACGATCTACGATACTTGACCATTCCGCCCGGTACATTATCTGATAAAGGTAATTCATTCAATAATGAATCATAAATAGTTTCTAAAAGATCTTCATCCCATTTCCTAAAAAAAATATATATTAATATTTTTTCTATAATATAATTCAAAATTAAATATATGTATTGTACGATTTTATAAAACCTTCCAATCATAGTATTACAAGTTTTTCTTGCTAAAATTGTCGTTGGAGCCATACCACCAAAAGCTAAATATGCTTTATTAACAATATTACTTTCTGGCTCGAAGAATACATTTAATGCCATATTAACAATAGCAATATCATCATCTCGTCTTCTTGCTTGTTTAAAAGCAACAAAATATTGATTCTAAAAAATAAAAAAAATATAACATTATTTACGAAATAATAATAATAAACGAATAAATTTATTTTATCAAATTTTGTTTACTTTTTCAGAAAACGGTATTTGTATCGAAAGTAAAATTTCTTCAGGTGAAATAACATTTTGCCGATAACCCTTAAAAAAAGTATGATCCATTGGAATAAGTCTATTTCCATTTTTCAAGCTTGAAACATTTAAGTTTACTCCAGCTGCCATAAAAATTGGATTCAGATCTGATATAGGACTTCCCGTCATTATATTTCCACCAACAGCCTATAGAAAATAAAAAAAATAATTAACACAAAAATTACTACATAATATAATAAAAAATTTTTATTTTTTCAAAAATTAAAAACTTTTTTATTAATAGATTACTTACAGCTACATTTCTGATTTGTTTTCCAGCAAAGCAATAAAGCATATTAACTATTTCATTAAAAATTCTCGTTTGGTATTCTATAATAATAATAAAAAAACAAAATCTGATTATAAAATTTTATTATTAATTTATTATTTATTATTAATTTAATAATTTAATAACTAATTTTAATATGAAATATATCCATAAATACCAGGTTTTATAGCAATTTGATTTTTTAAGGATTTTTCCATTTCAATAAGTGTAACACTAGCACCTACATTTAGTACTTTTGAATATTCTTCAATAATATGCATTTCTTTGATTAAAGTAGGCTGTATAAGAACTGGATAAGATAGATACTTAAATTTAACTTCAATCCCTAAAAATATATGTAATAAATGTAATATTTTTATGCTATTTATTTCTATTATTGAATTAATAGATATATAAATTTAAATAGTTTAGATGAATAAATTTTACCTATTTCTGTATTTCCTACGACAATTTTTGCATTTGGATATTGATTTTTTAGATATAATAATTCAGTAAGTGTTTTTGGTCTATACCAAGTAACATCTTTTCCTTTTATTATTAAATATTCTTCATCTAAATGTGAAGAAATCTAAAAAAAAATTTATTTAATCTATTGAAAATTATTTGTTATGTGTTATTTCGTTAATAAAAATAATAATAAATGATATGAAATCTTACACACATGGTTTTATTTATATCACTCGTGTATTAATAATTTTCTTTTATTACAAAAAGATATTGGATTAATTTTTTATGATTATATTAAAATAAAATTTTGTTAATACTTACATGTAATTTAGGAGGAAATATTATTTCTTGAGAAGGATCATATGAACAGAATTCTTTTGAATCAAAAACTTCTGTGGGTTCTACTATTGGTATTTTTTTACAACAATTTTCTCCCATAGAACATTCTCCATTTGTTAAAGATTTTTCTTTATCTTTTGATATTAATTGCATAAGTTCCCATTCTTCCGTAAAAGTTTTATAAGCTTCTATGATTGGACGGTATCCAGTACACCTGCATAAATTTCCTACAAATAGATTAATCAAGCTAATAATAATTAAATTATAAATTTCTTGAAAAAGAAAAAAAATTATCAGACAAATTCTTTCTTCTTAATTATTCATTCCTAAATTTCTGAATTTATTAGCAGAATATTTTATAAAAAAAATAATGACTATTATTTACTCAAATAATTAATAAATAATTAAATTACATTAATAATTAATTAATATATTAGACGATTAATATATAAAACGAAATTACAATTAATATATAAAACGAAATCATAAAATTTCAATAATTCAATAATCAATATTTTAAAAAATTATTTATTATTTTAGTTTTTGATTTTCTATTTCGTTTTAAAAAAATTTCTTAAATTTAAAATTATTCACAACATTGTTTATTCCTTTAAAGAAGAATATATTTTCAATTATTTTTTAAAATAAGATTAAAAACAATCCAATATCTAATTAATATAACTGATAAAATTCCTTAATTGAAATTTTATATATATAAATATTATTACATTCTGCTTATAGCAATATAATTGCAAAAGTGATTGTAATATTACCTTGAAAAGCTATTTCAAGATCTTTCATACTTGGTTTAGGAGTAGTACGTAGCAAAGCGTACATAGACATTATAATTCCTGGTGTGCAAAAACCACATTGTGATCCATGCGCTTTCGCTATCCGTTCTTGGACCGGATGCAGTGTCGTTTTAACACTTCCGATACCTTCGATGGTAGTTACTGCTAAACCATGTATGGCACAAACCAGTGTTAAACATGCATTCACTGCTAGATGTCTATTTAAATTAACAATTAAAGAAAATTATGCTATTTTCTTTTTCATATCAGACAGAATGATTTATTATTTTTTAATTTTGAACTTTTGAATAATTTCTTAAAATTCAATTTTTAAAAGAAAAATGTTCTTTATTAAAATTCCAATATTTATTCATGATTCTAAAATACTGTAATCGTTATTTTTTATTTATTACAATATAAATCTAAAATAAAGATAATATTAAAAAGGATACGTAATAATTCCAGTTGTACGATCCAATTTTGATATCATTACAGTACACGCTCCACAACCACCTTCTGCACAGCCTAATTTTGTACCAGTTAAATGTACTAAATTATTCTAGTTAGGAAAATTTTCTTAGGAAAAATATATATATTTTTTTTGTATTTAAGAGTCTATAATCTATTTATTTTTTTATATTGTGTACTTTCTATATTTCTTTTTCATTTATCTTGTTTAATCTTAATTTTCCTTTTTCTTAATTTTTTATTTTAAAAATTGTTTTCTTGTTATTGTCTTTCTTGTCTATTCTTGTTTCTTGTCATATAATATCAGATATTTTAAATATTTATTTTTATATTTAAAACATTAATTTTTATATATAAAATTGATGTTTGATATTAAAAACTATTGAATGTTAAAAGTAAAAAAAATTTGTAATATTTGTTTTTGTTTTTATGCGATATTTGTTGAATAATAATATAATGATTAAAAATAATCAAATGCATCATGAAGTCATGATGGTCATAGATAACTATCAGTAAAATAAACTTTAATTGATAAAGAGTTATTGATAAAGATATAATTTAATTGAATCATATTGCTTAATATTTTATTATTATAAATTTAAAATTATGAATCTATTGTTATGAATCCCATGAAATAAATATTTAAAATTTCCATGTAGTATTCAACATATTAATATATAAATATTTAATACATGCATATTTATATATATATTAATTTTGTTAAAATGAAAAAAGGATACATTTATTTCTTAAATACCATAATAAAGTCCATTCTGGATTAACACTATTATCAATTATCTGTAATAGCATCAATACTTGTAGATATTTGTGAAAACTAATGTAATTAATTAATAATTGTATTTTTTTTAAATTTTTTTTATAAAAATTGTTTAATAATAATGTTAAAAAAATAAAAAAATGTTATAATATAAACAATTGTATAATTATAAATATAAATATAAATATAAATATAAATATAAAAATATATATATAAA